CCGGATGGCTCGCCCAGGTTCCCTCTTCAGAGGCCCTGAAGATCCTTAGCCCAACATCAGAGATGCCCAGTGCCCCTCGTATGCCCTTGTTTAGGGTATAGGGTTTAGGGTTTAGGGTTTAGGGTTTATGGTTTCGGGTTTATGGTTTCGGGATAGGGTTTAGGGCTTCGGGTTTAGGGTTTGGGGTTTTGTTGAGGCCCCGTTTTAGCCACGCCCGGATGCAGGTTCCGAAGCATTCCGAAGTCTGTAAACTCTGGGCCCTGGACCCAAATCTTCTTGGGCCCCCCCTACCCCCCCCCCTCGAGAGCCGAGTTTGATGCATCAACCCTCTACCCCTAGAATCTGAAGGAGCTCATGCGCGAGTTGTGCGAGTACGCCTTCCGAGGAATCGCCTCGGGCTTACGGAGATGCAGTCCTTCCAGCGTCCGTCATTCATCAGGGCTAAGGGCTTTTTAGGACTTCAGGAGCTTAAGCCCTACAGTCCTAAACCATCCTAAACCCGAAAACCTAAACCCGAAACCCTAAACCCTAAACCCTAAACCACAAACCCTAAACCCTAAACCCTAAACCCTAAACCCTAAACCCTAAACCCTAAACCCTAGACTGGGACGGAGATGGCTGAGGACCACAATCTCTGCACCCAGCGGCGAGTGGCCAACCGCCTTCAGCGGCGAGCTCGGCGAGATCCGCAATTAGGGTGTAGGGTTTAGGGTACTAGGGTTTAGGGTTTAGGGTACTAGGGTTTAGGGTTTAGGGGTTAGGGTTTAGGGTTTAGGATTCCCTCTACTTCATGGGCCCAGTTCGGGTCTCCATGTAATGTAGCATCCACCAAGGAGGTAGGAGTTAGGGTTTAGATTAAGGTTTGGGGTTTCGGGCCTAAAAGTTTAGGGTGTGTATACAATGCAGAACCCGCCCTGATGATTCTGATGTCGGCTGAGGATGTGACCTTTCTGTGGCGCCGTTGCATCTGCACGTCCGCCGCTTGCGCGGTACTTCCACGATCCCTACACCCTTGAGCCTTCAACCGTAAACCGTAGTGTGTTCCTCCCACTGACCTCGAAACCTGAACGCTTCTACTGTAGGGGTCGGAAGAATTGCTAATAGCGTTTCCTCATGGTCCCTTTCTAAGCGTACTATAACAACCCCCAAACCCCTATTCTAATGATTCAGGCCCCTGTATTACACAACAACCGCCCCTAGGCTGGGAGATCCAGAGGCATGCGGGAAGATGCAGGCAGGGTCTTCGGGTTCAAGGGTTTTTGGCTTTAGGGTTTAGGGTTTAGGGTTATTGAAATTATTCAGGGTTCAGGTTCGAGGATCTAGGAAAGTTTCGATTTTAAAACTTTTGAATAATTTCAAGTTACAGGGGGCTTGAGGGTTTAGGGTTTAGGGTTCAGGGTGCTCGGGTTAAGATTCCTTAGACCCCTGTGCAAGGCTTCGCCTGCTTCAAGGTCATTGAAGCAGGTTTGCACCTGCTAAAGTGAAGCGCAGTTTTGTTGCATATGGCCTTCGGATGATCCAAGAAGCATGGACCAAAAAGCCGAGTCCAGGCACCGAGTGCAAAAAAGCATAAGCCCTAAGCGGTTCAGGGCACGCAATCTTACACCCCCCCCCCCCCCCCCCCCCCAAAACCCTAAGCCACACGGGTACTTGCAGGATGTCTGTGCTGCGGCAGGTGCTTTTGCCTTTGCTGCGGCACTGGCGGCGGCGAGGGCAGAAGGTGGCCTTTGGGTGCTTTTAAGGTTCAGGGTTTCGGTGACGTCCCCACATTCGGACATAACCTGTTGTTAAATGAAATTCATATTTGTAGCCCCAAAGCATGCACCAGTACAACTCCAGTGACGAGGGCGCAATGAACCTAATCAGGAGCTGTGCATGTCCCGGAGCCCTCCACACCCTCTCACCCACATTCGCAACGCCACAGCAGCAGTACTCCCAGAACCCAAACCCAAGACCAAGGAAAAACCCCTGAACTTGAACTGACGACCGATTAAAATACCTTATAACCCCTTTAAAAACCCTTCAAAAACCCATAAGAACCCTATAAACCCAACACCCGGAGCGGGGCAGGTCTTGGTCTTCTCCCGCAGCACCAGGCACGGTTTGGGGTTCAGGGTTTCGGGTTTGGGGTGTAGGGTTTAGGTGCAGAACTCCAGTGTTCACCTCCCGAACACCTGCGCTTTAGGGATCAGTGGTTTGGGGTTTATAGGGTTTAGGTGTTGAGTTAGGTAGGTTTTTTTGGGGGTTACAACCCTAAGCCCATGACTACTCAATACCGCAAGGGGGGGGGGGGGGGGGGGGGGCGTGCTTGAGCGTGCTTTTGCAGAAGCACCAGGACCTTAGGGACATGAAATATATTTGCCCTCATTGCGTTCAGCGGGATCCTATTGGGGAACTATCTATTCGAAGGGCTGTTAAGTTGTCAGTTTGGGCCAACCTAGAAGGGCTCTGATGCAGCTTCTACCCCCCCAGGGCTTGGGTCTTAGGCTTCAGGGGCGGGGGGCTTTGAAGGATTCCGCTGGCTGCGGGGGTCTTCGGTCGAAACCCCTGCCCGGACCCGAGGGTCTGTCAGGGTTCAGGTTCAGGGTTCAGGAACCCGGGCCTTCCCTGTATAGACTTTGTGCGGGCCTAGGTTTTTAGGAGGGTGTGGCAGAGCGTCCAACATCTTAAGCAGCGGAGAAAGCCCTCGACACAGTCCAAGTCTTCGGCAGCCAACAAGCCGACCCAGAGCCTGGAAATTCTCAGACCCTCCCTAGGCCCTGAATCTTAATCTTCTACCCTGGACCTGACAACCTATAAACCTATAAACCTAGAACCCTAGAACCCTAAACCCTAAACCCTAAACCCAAAACAACCCCAAAAGGCTTCCGGAGCTCCCGCAACAAAAGGCCTCGAAATATTCGGCCACCACCCCCGAGCTCGACCCCCCAGGGCTTAGGGTTTACGGGTTTGGTTTGGCATGTTCGCCCTTATACTAGCAGTCGTTAATCGGTATCATAACCGGGGGTACTATAATTACCAGAATCCTTATGAAGGACTCTTAGTATAAGGGGAACATCCCAAGGTTTGGTCCCTAAACCCTAAACCCTAAACCCTAAACCCTAAACCCTAAACCCTAAACCCTAAACCGTACACCTCCAAAGAGATCGGAGGCTTCTAGACATCCTGGAGGCCTGCCTTTGGCAGCAGGGCTGGCCGTGGACTCGACAATGGTTTAGGTTTAGGGTTTAGGGTTTCGGGTTCAGGATAGAAGTGTGTGGGGGGGGGGGGGGGGGGGTGGTGGTCCTCACGAAGGAGCTCCTTTGAGCAAAAGAGACGAATTCTAAGGTATGCTAGGGCCCAGTACCTACTTGATCTTAGCAGGTGTAGGTGGGCACCAATTATTCTAACCCCTTAAACGGGTAACCGGGAGCAAATAAGGCACGCTATCCCCCCAACTCCCCAAGAAGTAGGAAGATCAGGGCGGCTATTGGTTCAGTCTGATGGTTCCTTGTTGGGGGGGGGGGGGGGGAGTTTTCTTAGTAAAGCCTAAACACCGGAACCCCTAAACCCCTAGACCTCTAAGCCCAACACAGCCAAAGGTCGCCAGCCGTCTTGCGACTAGATGGCTCCACGGCCGTGACTCCGGCGTCAATTTGTTTTTTTGTTTTTTCTAAAGGGTGTTTAGGAGGGTTCGGGAGTTTAGGGAGTATAGGGAGTTTGGGGAGTTTCATGTCTCAACCCTTAAGCTTGAAGCCTAAGACCTGAAACCCCCAAAACAGAGACCCAGGAACGAAACCCGAAGCCTCATCGCCTGTGAAGCCGAACTTTGCGCGGCACCCTCAAGAAAGTACCAGTGACCAGTGAGGTGCAGGCTGGGTTGGGGTTAAGGGTTTTAGGGTTTTGGGGGATCAGGGGTTAGTATGTCGCGCTTGGGGTGGAAGCCCGGGGAGCTCACCCTAAACCCTAAACCCTAAACCCTAAACCCTAAACCCTAAACCCTAAACCCTAAACCCTACGGGTTTCGTATTAATTCAGTCCTACGTAGTTTGTCTCCAAGGAGCTTCTTCGAGACAGTCCGCAAGACCGCATGCATAAACCCTAAACCCTAAACCCTAAACCCTAAACCAATTCCCACATGCCGGGCAACTCAGAGCTGACCTCTTCGCACTCTCCTCCAAAGGTTTTGCACACGGGCGGGGCTGTGTCTCCCTCCCTACCCAAAATTTCTGAAGACAAACAAGTGCGGTTGCCTGAGAACGAACCTATTCTGCTTCCACAGTGCGAGTTCCCTCCTTGATTTTCTTGAGCGCGCCGCGCATTGTGGTGGACGCAATATTTCCGCGCTTGTGACTGTGTCGTGCCAACACCTTAAGCAGCAAACTCCAGGCCCCACGCCTCTAAAGCCTAAACCTGAAAACCCTGCCACAAGGGCAGAAGAAAAAAAGCCTAAACCCTGAGCCCTAAACCCTGGCTACAGTGTCCGCTCAAGTCAGCTTCTGCACCCTAGGTGCGCACGACTCGCCCTGCCTTCGCCATGGCCGCCCCCCCTTCCATGGCTCAGACCTATCCCCAGGCCCCGCTGTCTCCAAGCCGGCACCCCAAGGCCCTGACAAAAGAGGAGCTGGAGGCGTGCAGGGCGGAGCTCGAGGCTATCAAGTCTCAGTACGGCTTGAAGGAGCCTGTCCGCTCATTCATGGAGGACGAGGAGAGCGTGAACTGGCGATTCGGGGCGCCCCCAGACTACACCCTGGCCAACCTTCTGTTTTTGAAGGGCAAGACGAAGAACCACGAGGACAGCTCATCGTGGAGAATCTCGTGAAGACCTGGGAGATGGAGCGGTCGCACAAACTGGACCCTAACGCCCACTGCACAGTGGAATCCGGCCAGGTTTCACCTTGGGGCCAATGGCCGGACGAAGTTCAGCAACGAGGAAGCGAAAAAGATTGGCAACTACAACGTGCTGCTGCAGGGTTGCTCCTCAACCCTCTACGACACCAGCTGCACCTAAAAAGAGTCACATGAGACCTTCCACCATTCCTTTGCAGCATTCCCTTGTGAGCTCTTGGAGTGCTTTTCGGGGCCACCTCGGGTGGCCTTCTCCTGGCGCCGCTGGGGCCACTTCACCGGTACTTACCAGAACCATCAGGGCTCTGGGGAGTTGGTGGAGATGTACCTATATCTCCCCTTGGGACTTTTTTGTATTTTTGCTTATTTAATACCCAAGGGGATATTTGAAATTAATATTTTTATTAAGGTTCTAAGGGGAGTATAGGTACGGCTTCGCCGTGGCTTTGGTGGATGACCAGCTCCGCCTGGTCGATGTCGAGGTTTACTACAAGGCGGACTCTTTCCTGGAGGTTTTGGAGTTTAGGGTTTAGGGTTTCGGGTTTAGGGTTTAGGGTTTAGGGTTAGCCCAAAGAGTGATGCAATCACATCATCTTTTCGATGATTTGGAACTGCACACATGACAGCTTGAGACCCCAAAAGGTCTCAATCTAAAATGGCCACCAGCCAAAGCTTTCCGAAGGGATCAAGACGTGCAAGAAGCTTGGCATTCAGGGTTCATAGGGCCTAGGGTGTGGCAGTACCTGTAGCGTCGACCATAATGCATGATACTGACTACCCGGAAAGCTAATCAGCATGGCTAAAGGCCAAAGGAACCAGTCATCAGCCGCAGTACCCCAAATGAGTCACGGCTCACGTCAGTTCGAAGCCCTGCAGGCAGGCAAAGCACGATGCGTAGGATGCGAGGTTGCCGAAGATGCAGTACCCAATGCGTCAATCACAAGCTGGAAAGAGCTCCCGGGAGGTCGGTAGTTGGACCGGCTTCCGCTGCATCCTCAACAGCCCTGGTGGATTGCAGACGGTGTCCATGTGCATCCTAGCCCTTCATGGCCTCGAGGTGCGGGCACACACCGCCCGCCGAATCGATCTTCAGAGTCTGCAGATACGGGCATCCTGCTCGTGCACCTGAGCCCACAAGGTCCTGTCCGCTCGTCAGCGAGCTAGACTCTGGTTTCTGGAGGGCTGTAGCGGCTTAAGGGAATGGGGCGAAATCCATGGGTTTTCCTGAGCATCATCATCATCATTTGTCTGGAGCCCTGTGGGAGGTGCACCCTTTCCCTTGTGTTTCAATTTTGCCCAATGTGCGGCGAGGTTGACGCAGTTTGCTGCGGGACTCACCTTTGGAGGTCAGTTGCATCTCAATTCCCGGGTCACAAGCTATGCCACTACAGTGACGCTTCGGTTTGTAGTGCAGGGACATGCAAGGGATAGAGTCGAGCTGGGTTGCCGATGCATCATGCTTGTGTTCGGAGTAGCACGGAACCGGGGAATGCACATGTATGCACTACCCTGCGGAGGGATAAGCTTTGATTGACAACAAGATGGCATGCTCGGCGAAAACACTGCTGAATTCAAGTGAGTAGTACTTGCATGAGGGGTTGTAGAAGGTAGTACCTTCGAGGCCCTTACCTGGTGTACCTGGTGGAGTGCAACTATGAGATAGAGCGCACAGAAAGTGATGTCGAGCTAGCAGAAGTGTACGAACCGTCATGTGGAGCATACGGTATCTAGTGAAAGGCTTTGAAACCCCCATCCTTAATCTACGACCTTCCGATAGACATAGAGAGGCAGTGGGCAGAGCCTAAACCCTAAACCCTAAACCCTAAGCCCTGTATGAGCCCTAAACCCTAGTTTCTATATCCCCCCTTGGGAATGATTTTTTGATTTTGTTTGTATAAAACCCAAGAGGATATTGGAAAAATATGTTGATTAAGGTTCTAAGGGGAGTATAGAGTTTGAGGTTCCACGAGGGTTTAGCAGCCCAGGTTGCGCACCGACAGCGCCTCGTTGACGAGTGGGGAGCACAAGCTTTCTCCTCCTTGGGTTCGGTTTAGGGTATAGGGTATAGGGTATAGGGTTTAGGGTTTAGGGTTTAGGGTTCAAGTCTAGGGAACTTACATAACCAAAGCGAGAAGGATTTCCAGGGAAGACCAGGATGGCTTCAGGCACCTTGCCAAGGCTCGTTCTGACACAGGCTGAGGGTCGAAAAGGGCTCCTGATCAGAAGCTCCCAGCTACCCTAAATCCTCAATAAACCCTAAACCCTAAACCCTCCTGTGCAATGATCCTCGATACCTCCCAATGATCCTCATCCCTCTAATTGTTCCCCAGACGGCGGGGACGGAGGGATTTAGGGGTGGTTTGGGGTTTAGGGTTGCACGCCCTCAGTTCTCCAATCATCAGCCCAAGATCGTGGAGTTTAAGGTTCTGAGGCCATGAGCTTGTAGAAGCGTGTATTGTCGTAGCTCCAGCCTCTCACGGCCGTGAACCCTAAAACCCAAAACGTTTCAAGGTTCAACACGTCCACGACCCGTGCAATTTTTCTGATATCCACACGCCCGCGCCCCAGGATCCCGAAACCCTAAACTGACGCCTCGGTTCTCGAAAATTTGGGGGCCCTTTAGGGTTTGTTGTAGGTGTAGGTCTTCGGCCATGGCATTGGATTTTTGACCCTTTGTGAGTTTAGGGGCTTCATGGGTTGACATCTTCGGATGTTTGGGGCTTTAGGGGGTTTAGGGTTTGGGGGGAGAGGGGGGTGTCTTGCAGGTCACAGTTTTCGGCATGTTTTTTGCAGTCCCTCAAGTCACGTAGCCCGCTTGTTCATGGACCAACCTGGGCATCTGTGCGTCACATTGGCTGACAGAATCTTCGTTCCATAAACCCTAAAACCTACGCCGGCCCCCTTTCCCAAAAAAAGGTACATAAAGCAATAATAATAGTAGTAATAATCATAATAATAAGAAGATTAAGAAGAAAAATACTCACAAGAAACATAGAGCAAACCTCGCTGAAAGGCGCTGGGGGCGTCGGCTTAAACTTGACAGCGGCCTCTGTGGTTGTCATCTTCGACCCCGACTGGTGGCTCTGGCATGCTCTCGCGTCAGCTATGCAAGGTTTACGGTTTTGTTGCTTCAAGCTTCGGCGCAACCCCCCACCCCCCAAAAAAACAAAAAACACATACATCCCGACCCTAAAACTGTTTAGAATATCCCTGCAAAATGATGCAAGGGCAGAGAGGCACATTGATTCACGAGCTTTCTTCAGCAGCTACTTGGAGGTTCACGGTACTTATTAACCAATAATGACTGTACTTATCGCTGTACTTATAACATACTAGGGCACTTAAGGGGCTTATAACTGTACTGAGAATTTCTTAATAAGTACCATGAACCTTCAAGTAAGCATGGCCTGGGAGGAACCCTTTCTCCGACCTGCAAGCGCAGGCGTCGGGTGCACGTCAGGGAAGCTGTTCTCTGGGGTTTAGGGTTTAGGGTGTAGGGTTCAGGATTAGGGTTTAGGGTTTAGGATTTAGGGGTTAGGGGTGGGGTTAGGGGTTAGGGGTTCAGGTTTTGAGTTTAGGGTTGAAGAAGATCTCCTGGCGCCTTTTCTCCCTAGTTTGTGGGGAGCTGTTTTTTCATTCCTAGGTTAAGTTGCTGGCGATCCCGGCTGAGGCCTTGAAGCTTTGAACGTTTCGGGATTCAGGTCCAGCAGGGTTTAGGACCCCGTGTGTAGGACGGACGGGATCCGTCGTTCCCGGGGTTGAAGGCTGCAGGGGCCTGCGGCTCTCCCTCAGTCCATGTCTCCATGTTTCAAAGCCCTAAGCCCTAAACCCTAAACCCTAAACCCTAAACCCTAAACCCTAAACCCTAAACCCTAAACCCTAAACCCTAAACCCTAACGGCCAATAGCTGGGGGGCAGAGCGTTCTAGCCGCCCAGCTTGTGGAACGACTTTGGGCTGCACCGACCGACAAAACCCTGAGGGCCCAATACAATAAGCAGCAGAGCCGAAAACCGTAAAGCCCTATAAGCCCGACAAAGCCCTCTCAAACCCCATAAAACCCTCTCAATCCCCATAAAACCCCATAAAGCCCTATAAAACCCTTTAAAGCCCTATAAAACCCTAAGCCCTGCGCTTCGCACCCTGAGCAGCTCATCATAGAGCATTCCTGTCCCAGACCGTAGACCATCCTCGTTCAGGGCTTCGGGTTTTTATGAGTTGTCCTGGATGCAGGACCGGTCCTTTCGAATCGGGCAAACTCGAGTGGTGGAGGTTGGCTGAGCTGACGCCCTAAGGCCCTAAACCTACAGATATACGTATACATATATCTACATATGTATATATATATATATACAAATGTATACATCAGAACCCCAAATATCAAGAGTGGAATTAAAGGCTACAAGTGTCATGCATTTTGCGTAGCTTTCTTGCTTGCATCTGCCTGGACGATGATGGCGTCCACGCTACCGGCTTATTGGCCAGAGCTCCGTCGAGCTAGGGGTAAAGGGTACTAAACCCTAAACCCTAAGCCCTAAACCCTAGACCCTATAAACCCCAGCGTGACCTTGAGCTTGTAAATCAGCTGTTCCAGTTCTCGTGCGGATGGCATCACTGAGTCTCTAAGTCTCTCAAGCTCAAGATGCGAAGCTTCTTGAAGAAGCACGCCGGAAAGGCAATAACAAAATGGCCGACCAAAGCTTAAGCTCTCAGAAACACCACTCTTTGCAAGCACTGCAAGCACACGCCGGACCCGGCGGTAGACATCTTGAAGAATTTATCCCCCGCTACAGCTATACAGTATTAGCTAGAGTATATATACATATGTATGTATGTATGTAATCCCGAATTTCAAAGTCCCCTATTTGTAGCCTTGAAACAGTACACTCTGAGCCCTGCGGACCCGGAACCACCCACAAGTCAGATCATGTCAGGTCTACCGCCTCTTGGGTGCCGGCACCATTGAGGACAGGGCTCAGACATTCAGAGGGTTTAGGGTTTAGGGTTTAGGGTTTAGGGGTTAGGGGTTAGGGTTTAGGGTTTAGGGTGTAGTAGCTTAGAGGTTTAGAGTCCCGAAGAAGGATCCTTTACATGCAGGAGCTCACAGGAAGTCCAAGTTGCAAGGCCTCTTGGACTTCGGAGACCCTAAAGCCCGTAAGCCCTGAGCCCTAAACCTTGCAAAACACATGTGCCTGCAAGTTGTGGATGTAACAAGTGCGAGCGTGGTAGGAGGGTATGCTGTGAGCCGTCACTTGTCCGTAACCATTTTGGGTCGAGTGACTGGCTTTCCTTCTTTCTTTTGGAGCCAGTTACAGGCGGGAGAACTCATATGGACCTGGTGGTCGTACCTGACTCCTTGGCCGAAGTCCCCTCACAGACAATCGGCCGGGAGGACGGTGTCGAGCCAGTCCTGTGGCTGACTCTTGTCGCCCTCGCGTGTGCCTTCCTTGCCGGCTTCTTCCTCGGCCGGTGGAGCGTTCGCGAGGCACCGCCTCAAACTTCGCCACCTTTGCCCGTTCCAGTCTCGCGGAGGGCAGGTGGGAAAGGCTGGCCATAAGCCATGGATCCCACGGAAGCGGAATTGCAAGCCATCCAGACCTTGGCGCACGCTCTGGCAGGGGCTGCAGTGGCTGATGATTTGGAGGCCACTCTACGCGAAGACCAGACCGACTGAGGGAAATCGCACTCATCCCGAGGGCAGCTTGGGATACCGCTGTGGCAGCTCTGACCGTCCCTTCCGGCCCGGCACCAGCTGGAGGCGGTCCTCAGCCCACACGCAATCTGAGCCTAGTCGAGGGCGCCCGAGTGGAATCCTTCCGTAGGGTCTGCCTCATCAGAATGGGCCAGAACCCAGGACTTGACCACGCGGCAATGGCTCCCGCTGTCCCCGGGCCAGTTGCGCCTCCTGGTCAGCCAATTGGTGGAGGCTCACGGAAGCTAAAGCTCTCAGCCATCCTCGACCCTACCTTGGATGCAGAAGTGCAGCCACTCCAGCAGGCCTAGCTCCAGACCATGTACAAGACGAAGTTCGGCGACTTCCCTGGCCCTGACGTGGACCCCTCCCACGAGCAATTGGCGGCCTTGAAGCAAGTCCTCGCCAGCGGTAGCCCGCCGTTCGCCGACTTCAGTGTTTTCGGCCCCTACGGACTAAGGCTCCTGCGCAAGCAGTCCTTCACGAGCTATGTCCTCAACGTGGCCACCGGTGAATGGACCAAGAGGGAGCAGCCAGGCCCAGGCACATTCCACTCGTGGTACCAGGCCTGGAAGGTGCTCAGAACAGCTCTCCTCTTGCTCGATGCGGTGGACGCAGAGAGGCTTGACGCCTACTCGGAGCACATCAGGGCCTTTGTGACTCAGTTCTCGGACGAGGCCTGGTGGATCGTGTACCGTGCTGACACCAGAATGAGGTCGGAGCATCTCGAACGCATCCGCCGCCAACTTGCTGAAGCCCCGGCGCATGGGTACACCGCGGCCCGTCCGTGGAACGCAGCCTTCGCTGCAGCAACCAAGGAGCAGGACTTCTGGACCAAAGAGCTCGTCACCCCAGCCACCTTGTGGTTGTCACAGAACAGGTCGGGAACCTCACGGTCAAGCGGTGGAGATGGCTCGCATCAAGAAGGACCTCCTCTCAAGAAGCAGAAGGCCGCCCGAGCAAAGAGACGCTATGAAGGAGACGACCTCTCAAAGAAGGACGGAGATATCTACACCCACAACAGAAAGGGGGTAGAAATCTGCCGAGATTGGAACAAAGGCAAGTGCGGCAAGCCCGCGGCCCAGAGCAAATGCGACCGCAAGAGATCCCATCAGTGCAATTTGTGCTTGGGACCGCATCAGGCCTCCGCATGCCCTGGGCCCAAGGCAAGCTGAAAGCCGCAACCAAAAAAGCTGACCCGATGCGCGGCCTCCCTCCGAAGCCGCCGCCCTCGAAGCGTCAGAAAAGGGAAGAAAGTGAAGCCAAGAGCGGCAAAGAGGTTCTGTTGGCGTCCGAGCATTCCACTCCTGGAGAGTGGAGCCCAAACGCCTCAGGACCGCCGCCTAGGTCGAAAAGCAACCAGCTGACTTCGACGGCCAAGCAGACCCGGCTGGACCCAAAGAATACAAGGCCAGCAGAGCCCAGTGGACCGCCCCCGAAGAAGAAGAGCCGGGCTGGGCCGCCGGTCCCCGCAAAGACAAGCGCCGTGGCAGCTCCAGCAACCACGGCAAAGGCAGCGCCAAAGGCAACGGGGCCCCAACACTGCATCCCGAGAGCCATGCCGGCCAACCTGCGCTTTGAGTCCATGGGCGAGTTGCCTAACTACCCAGCCTGCAGTGTCGGCCCACGACCGTATGGGCATTGGGTGGAGTCAGACCATGCAACGCCGGCCAAGAAACCGTGTGCGCTGATCTTGTTCTGTGGTCGTTCCCGCCCGGGAGACCTGCAACAGTACTTGGCGCACATGGGCTGGCTGGTGTGTGCTCTTGACACGGCAATCGAGCCTCCCACGAACATCCTGGATGAAGGAGAACGGGGCCCCATCATCCAAGACATCATGACGGGTTTCTACGAAGCCGTTTGGGTGGCAACCCCCTCTAGCACATTCAGCCCACTTAGTTCACCGCCTGGACCAGTCCCGCTGAGATCCCTGGCGCACCCTATGGGACTGCCTGGGTTGGGCGAAGATGATGCCAAGCGGTTGAAGGAGGCGAACGCGCTGATCACCCGCACCATTGAATCAGTAGATGGCCAGCGGGCGGACGGGAAGGCTTGGGGCGTCGAGAACCCAGACCACGGCTCAGAGAAGGTGGACCTGTGGGATATGCCGCAGCTTCGGCAATTGGCCCACAACTCCCGGAACTTTGTCGCCAACTTCGACCAGTGCGCCTTCGGTCTGGGTACAAAGAAACCCACGCGTTTCATGTACCACCAGATTGTCTTCGAAGGGCTGGACAACATTAGATGCCCCCATCCTCCGAAGCAGCAGAAGGACCACAGAGGCCACACCTACATGGCGCCGCACCCGAGCGTAGCCCAGAAGAAGGATGGGGGAGAAGGAGAGTCAAAGAAGCGGGGCGAGCGCGCACCACACCTGTCGTGGGTCATCGCAAAGGGCATCCACGACGGTTGGCGAAGGAAGGAGCTCAGTGAGGAGGAGCTCCCGTGAAGCCCGACCAATGGGGCAACTGATCCTGTCGCACAACTGCAGCCCGCGCTTCGACCTGCCACAGAGCGCGAGATCCAGAACGCGAAGGCGCTGGGTGGCATGCGGAACCCATCCAACTCGCTGCTTCGAGTAAAGGGTGCCACAGAAGCTGGGACTGCGGTCAAAGAGCTGCTGGACACAGCCCTCGATACCTGGCCAATGTTGCTGCAGCCCGCCCGGGCGATCTTGGAGGGAGACGAGCCGCAGGACTACCCGGACAACCTCATCGAAGTCATTCGCAGCTCCGTCTTAACTTTGTTGGGTGCAACTAAGGAACAAAGAACCCGCCGGAGGACAGCAGCTGCAAGTACGCCGCTGCGAGCCGACATCATAGAGGCATGGAGCAACGTGGCCGACGACCCTGACTCCAGTACCCTGGCGGCGTGGCTAGACCACGGGGCCCCACTCGGGATCACCCAGCAGATCCCGTCGCATGGGGTGTTCCCCCCGGCTGCCGAAATGGAGAAGATCGAGGCAGACCACATCCAGAGAAGATCCCTTGAAGGTTGGGAAAACTACGGTTCGGCCCAGGAAGAGGCCGAGGACTTGAAGGCACTCATCCAGGACTACGTGGATCGTGGTTTCTGCCGGGTGGTGAAGCCTGACCAGGCAGAAAAGGAACTCGGTCCAGACTACGTCCTCAACGAGCTGGGGGTTGTCGTTAAGACCAAACAAGACGCTCAAGGACGATGGGTCAAGAAGTTCCGAATCATCTGGGACCTCAAGGAGAGTCAGGTGAACAAAGCTTGCTGTCAGGGCGAGCGAGTGCTCCTGCCCCGTTTGCTCGACGTGGTTGCCTCGGTGCTCAAGGCATACCGGGATGGTCTCAAGCCACACCTGGCGGGGGTGGACATTCGAGACGCCTTCATGAACATCCCTGCAGGGGTCGACAAGGCCTTCACGACGGCGGCCCTCCCAGGAACAAGGAACAAGCCTATGGTGGTGGTCTTCGACACCCTAGTCTTTGGGTCAGCCTCGTCGCCGACAGTGTGGGGCAGGTTCGCTGCTTGGCTTGGCAGGACAACCGCTGCAATTGCCAGGAACAGCCCTCAAGTGTACGTCGATGATCCGGTGTACGTCATGGCCGGCGACCTGGAGCAGGCCACAAGATCCCCGAGTCACGCGCTGCTCTGGGCGGTGGCGGGATTTCCTGTCAAGACGTCGAAAGCCACATGCGGGAAACAAATCGAATGGATCGGAGCCAAGCTGGCGTGCCAGGACGACACCAAGACAGTGACGGTCTCCATCCCAGAGGCAAAAGTGACACAGCTCTTGGACGACACTGACAAGATCCTGGCCAAGCCGGTGGTGGGTTCCAAGGTCCTGAGGTCCTATGCCGGCGCCCTGTCCTTCGTGGCTGGCCTCGTTCCACACCTACGCCCTTTCCTTTCGACGCTGTGGGCGGCACTTTCCCAGCATGTGCTAGCGGCTAGCGAATGACGGATCGCATACCAAGCGGTCCAGACAGCTGGTGCACGTCAAGAGAATCCGTCCTGCGTTAAAGTGGATCAGGGCGCTGCTGGCAGGAACACCCGGGCCACTCGAGCGGTGCTTCTTCGCAGTGCCAGAGAACGCAGACCTTGAGATCGTCACCGATGCTTCGCCGTGGGGCATGGGAGGACTAGTGAGAAAGGGTGGAGAGACAACAGAGGCGTTCGCCCTCCCCCTTTCCGACGGGGTCCTAGTCCTAGCCAAGTTCAATGCCCAAAGAGGCGTCCCTGATTTCAATACCCTCTGGGAGGGGCTTGCCTTGTTAGTCGCATTTAGTCGCATTCCGTCTGTGGCTGCCCTCCATAGCCTTCGGAGCGACCTTCAGGGCCAAGTCTGACAACTTGGGGTTTCTTATGGCCCTGGCCGAGGGAAGCGCGAAATCTGCGCAACTCAACGTGCTGGCCCGGGAATTTGCCTTAGACCAAGCGCTCAGGTGCTACAAGGTCACGGGACTAACGCACATTCCGGGCGTCACCAATGTACAGGCAGATGCCCTGTCCCGGAAGTTCTCACCAAAGCCCCCCGAAATGCCGAAAGCTCTCGAAGGGGTGAAACTGGTGAGCCTAGATCTCAACGACGGTTTTTGGAAGGTGTGAAATGATCGTGCTCGGTTGCACTTTCGCGACATGCTCTTGCATTTCCCTCTCTCTCCCTCTCCCTTTCTCTCTCATCTTTCATGTTGAGGTTTGTGCTTTAGACGCTTCGCGCTTGCAGATGCCGCGGCCCAAACGAACTCTGGGCCGGTTCTGGCCAAGTAGTAATGTAGGAGATTGGGGTTGCTCGGTACGTCCGCGATGCACCATCCTCCACGAAGGACCCGCTATCCCGGGGCGGCCTGCGGGGGGTGCCATCGGGGGTCCAGCGATCCATCGTGATAGACGAGGTGAACCGCGCCCGTATGGTAGGGGAAACGCGCAGCAAGCCCTCGCGGCAGCAAGCGACCCCGAATCATGCAGGAATGCGCTACTAGCCGAAGTTATGGCGTCAACCTCTGCTGCGCCCATCGAGTCCAGAAAGAGGCTTTGGGTTCAGCTTAGCGACAAAGCGGCCCTCAAGCTCGGAGGTTATCGCTCAGCCGTCCAGTACATGGAAGTGGCGAAGCAAGAACACATCGGGCTGGGGCATCCGTGGACAGAAAAGTTACAACAAACATACCGAGCCGCAAAGCGGAGCTGTATGAGAGGGCTTGTGCCGGCAAAACAGGCTTCCGCCCTACCAATGGGAAGATTAGCCGGTTTCAGCTCTTCTGAGCCGATGGCTACTCCAGGTCCGACGTCCCCAGCCCGGTCCACGATCATCTCGTCATGGTGGATGCTCCGCGAACTCGAGGCCTCCAGGGCTAAGATTGAGCACCTGACATTTGATCATGTCAACAAGACTGTGACGTGGTTACTCCCTTCGTCAAAGACGGACGTCGCTGCCCTGGGGGCCTCGCGCAAACACTCGTGCGCGTGCTCTGCGCTCTGCCCAAGCCTTTGTCCGTACCATTGTGTCCTCGCACAGGTAGGCGACAGGCCTGGCCACGCTCCCGTCTTCACAGACGTAGAGGGATACCCGCCCAGCAAAGCCGGGTGGGCTAACACGTTTCAGTCATTGGCCGCCGCTCTGGGCCTACCGGTCACCTTTCGGAACGGTGCTCGAGTTTTCACCGAGCCACCGGCGCACAGTTTATGGCAATCAAAGGAATCGAACTTTGGAGAATCCAAATATTTGGGCGATGGGGCTCAGCGGTAGTACTCCGCTACCTACGAGAAGCCCCAGTTGAGCAGCTTGGGCAGCTGGCAGTCGAAGCAGGCCACGCCGACAGCCTAGCCCGAGCACGAAAAGAGCTCGAAGAGCTCATTGCGAAGGGACAAGCCTTCCTGAACGCCCAGCAGATTGCCGTGCCCGATCCGGACTGGCTACAAGATTGCGAGGCCTCTTCATCCCAGACTGGGGCTCCGATCCCCGCTGGTGCAGCCCCGCCGCGTGACTTTTCAGCACGGCTGGTGCTCAATCTCTCTTATGGGGGCAAGTTGCATCGTTGCGTGACAGACTTGTCTGACCCACGCATGGCACTGCACCCGAAGCATTGGCGAACCAGCTGCGCTTGGCCCTTCGCAAGAGATTGCTCATCCTTCTCGTGGGTTCCATTGGACCACGAAGGCAAGAGATGCAAACGCTGCTTCCCGAGTCAAACTCGCGAACCCAGCTCATCTTCCTCGTCCTCCTCCACGGACTCCTCCACATCACCCTCCGACGCGCCATCAGCAGGTGGGTAAAGGTGCACTGGCGTCTGTTTTGGGTAAGGTCAGGTGGGATCTTGTCCTGCCCTCTTGATTTCAGGGGTCCGAAATGAGACGCCTCTAGCAAGAGGAGCGACCTTACGTCCAAAAGTGTAAAACAGACCGTGCACTCGCCGTGCTGGGATGCTCGGGCTTGTTGGTGGTTGCTGGGGAGCGGTGGGCACTTGTTAGGCCCTAACTAAGCCCTGAACCTTAAGCCCCTCACCTCCTAATCCCTGGGCTTGCAAACCTTCAGGAGCAAGTCTACGTGCGACAGGCGCGCTCTCGGTTAGGGTTCGGGGCTTAAGGGAGGTTGCAGGCTTCATTGAATACATGTGTGCTCAACCCATTCAACCCCTCAATGAACTTGAGGCAAGCTCGGCGGTTTAGGGTTTAGGGTTTGGGGTTTAGGGTTTCGGGTTTAGGGTTTAGGGTTTAGGGTTTCGGGTTTAGGGTTTAGGGTTTAGGGTTCAGGGCTTGGCAAGCCCAGGATATCTGCATCTTGGTTCAGGGCCTCGCCGAGCTTTCGAGTCTCGGGTGTTTTGAGTGGGGGCCTTGGATGATGGCGGCTCCCGACCTGGCGAACAAGTGTAAACCCTCGAAACCCTAAAAAACCCCTTCCTAAACCCTAAACCGTAAACCCTAAAACCCTAAAACCCTAAAACCCTATCACCCTAACACCCGAACACCCTAACACCCTAAAACCCTAAAACCCTAACACCCTAACACCCTAACACCCTAAAACCCTAAAACCCTAAACCCTAAAACCCTAACACCCTAACACCCTAAACCCTGCAGGTGTGGAAGCAGCAGTTGGCTGCCGCTGCCATTGTCCGGGGCCCTGCTTGCCGAGGCTCTAGGTATGGGTTTAGGGCTTAGGGCTTAGGGCTTGAGTTTAGGGTTTTGGGTTTTGGGTTTTAGGGCGCTAGGGGCTTTAGGGGTTTTAGGGGTTTCAGGGTTTGAGGGTTTTAGGGTTTAGGGTTTTAGGGTTTCGGGTTTTTTGGTTTAGTGTTTTATGGTTTTAGGGTATTAGGGGTTTAGGAGTTGAGGGTTTAGGCCTTTAGGGTTTTAGGGTCGATGGCTTTTGGGGCCTAATCAGGGTACTGTATTGAATTGACACTATGTAACCTATTCTGGCAAATTAGGCTAGGTCCTGAGGAAGAGCCTTTTTAAGACCTCGAGGCTTTTGGGGCAGGGTGTATCGGATGTCTATGGCTCACTGTTTTTGGGGGTAGTTCGGGCTGCAGGGCCGTTCGAGGGCCAAGGGCTTAGGGTCAACAGCGTTGAACATGCGCGGCCGAAAGGCCTTAACCTAAGCTTCAGACTTCAAACTCTGGTTTGGACTTGTCGTTGTCGGGCTGCCCGTCGTGTAGCCCAAGAAGCCAGCACAATCCTTATTGTCAGAACACCCTTGAAAAAGGCGTCCAACTGTTTGGAATTCACCGCTGAGTGCTTGATGGCTCGCCCTCTAACCAAGAATCCTAAGTCCTAAGCCCCAAGAAGACATTTGGCAAGAGAGCCCAACTCAGCCCGACACACCCTATAAGCCCAAACCGACCTCAAAATCCTTAAACACCTAAGACCAACACCTAAAACCCCAAAATCTTAAACCCTACAGTACGCCCTAAACCCTAAGCCCTTGGCGCCCCAAACCCAACACCCCTTCTTCGCCCTATCCCATAAACCCTAAACCCTAAACCCTAAACCCTAAACCCTAACCGTTTTTAGCCCGAGGATGGCACTCGCAGCGCCCGTCGGCTGGATGATCAGAGCTTTGGTCTTGCGGTTGGGCTGCACATGGGATTTAGGGTCTAGGGCGGGTTTAGGGTTTTAGGGTTTAGGGTTTAGGGTTTAGGGTTTAGGGTTTCGGAAGGACGATGCCAGTTTCAGAGCTTTGGTCTTGCGTTTAGGCTGCATTGGGGTTTAGGGTTCAGGACCATATCAAGGGATCATGTACCTACCCTTAGAGGATAGAGCATATCTGGGCAACATGAGGCCTACCTCTTTGCCGGCCAAGGCATCATTCTGAATGTTGTCTATCTAAACAAGCGGGCAAAGCACAAAGCTCCAACACAGCCCCGCAAGCCGCAAACAGAGTTTACGCAAAGCCCTCAAGCCCGAAACTCTAAACCCTAAACCCTAAACGCTAAACCTTAAACCCTGAACCCTGAACCCTGAACCCTGAACCCTAAACCCTAAACCCTAAACCCTAAACCCTAAACCCTAAACCCTAAACCCAAACCTCCAGGACCAAAGAGGCCCGGAGGCTCAGGCACCAAGAACCCCAAAAGGTGTCACCATGTTTCGCCCACCCTAAACCCTAAACCCTAAACCCTGAACCCTAAACCCCAAACCCTAAACCCTAAACCCTAAACCCTAAACAGTTGCGAACATAATTGCGAACATAAAGTTATGAAAAAAGCAAAAGCTCGGTCTAACTAAGCGTACTGTGAAAGACGTTAAGTTATGTAAATTGCCCAAATTATCGGACCATATAGCTACCGGAAGATACCCCATGGCCGCATGCAGGATGCAGTTTTCAGACCGGATCCCCTACTGCCGAGAATCTACAGCTTGGCCTCATCCCTCCCTAAACCCTAAACCCTAAACCCTAAACCCTAAACCCTAAACCCCTTCAATGCCTAAGACTCTGAAAGCCTCAAAGCCCCTCCCAGGGCAGCCTCTTCGAGCTCCATGACACTTCTATGCTGCAGCAGCCTTGGGGTTGGATACTGGGTTTAGGGTTTAGGGTTTAGGGCTTAGGGCTTAGGGCTTAGGGTTGTGTGTTTTAGGGCGTCAGGGTTTAGGGTCATAGGGTTTCGGGGTTTGGGGTTTAGGGTTGAGGGGTTGGATTTTAGGGTTTAAGGGTTTTTGCTTTTCCTGGTTCTGGGTTCAGGGTTTTGGGGTTTTGGGGTTTTAGGGTTCAGGGCTTTAGGTTTTTGGGTTTAGGGTTTTAGGGCTTTAGGGCGCCCAGTCACTTCCCGAATAGCGGGAGCCTTGTTGCGCGTTCATGGCTTTAGTACGGGCCTTGTATATATGTAGGGTGCCTACAGAGGGGCCGTACTCTGAGAAGCCTCCTTTGTTACGCCTAAATAGTGCCCTGAAGCCCAGACTTAAAAGGAAGTCCCAGTCCTCGTCCTTCGAAACCTAAACTCCCCACAGGTTTAGGGCAATTTTAGAAGAGCGCCCGCGCAGATCATTGGTTCATCCGCAAGGTGAAAGCTTGGAAGCAGATACAATGCCAGGCAAGACTTCAGAGCTCTTCATAGGGTTTCCAGCAGCCCCCGCAATATTCCTCCGAGCGAGGAGGGGGAGAGGATTTACAAATCGGGCTTGGGATGTGCTGGGGTGGAGGTTGAAGTCGCTGGCTTGGGTTGACAAGCATGTCGACCCCCAAAACAGGCTGCCAAAAGGCTCCGTTGCCAGAGCCGCACGGGGACCCTCAACAGGTCTTCATGGTTGAGAAGAGGGCCCACTTGGAGATTCACGGGCCCCTGTAAGTAGACGATAAGGACCCTAGATAAGGTTCGAACCATAGATAGCCCTACTCATTGCCCTACGTATAAGAACCCATGAACCTCCAAGCAAAAAGGTGATGGTTGTAAATCGGGTTGGGTATGCTGCAGGTAAGGTTGGGAGTCTGGGGGGTGTGGCGGTTCAAGAGGGTTTGGAGAGTCCAAGATGTTGTAGGCCTTGCGTAAGTCTCCCAAGATGCCCCCAGAGCCGCCAAACTCCCAAGATGCCCCCCGAAAGGTCTAAACGGCTAAGCCGAGGGGTGGAGAAGGAACGGGGAACACGGAATTCCGGAAATCTTTCACTTTGCATCTCTCACCCAAAAGTTTTGCACGGTTCGGGTATCTTCGGTCTTACGATTACAATCCTGCGTAGGGGGACGGGCGGGGCCGGGTGCCTAGATTGGCAGGAGAAGTTTCGAAGGAATTGGCTGAAAACGCCCAACCCCAAGTGCCTTCAATCCCGTTCAAGGCCTGCCTTGATGGCGGAGGCATTCAAGAATCGGGCACCTCATGAGGCCAGGGAAGAAGGGAGTCAGGGCTTCGGGTAGCTTCGGGTTGGTAAGGTTCAGGGGTCAGGTTGTTCAGGTTCTGTCCTGCGACCTGACCACAGCCTAAACCCGAAACGGTGGAAACCCCCAGCACTGCAAAAGCTGGTTATGGCCCTAATCAGCCACGCTATTCAGGCCCCCTGTGCCTTAGACCCGGAACCTTTATACTAAACTTTATACCCTAGACAGGATGCTCCCCCGTTGAAGTACGTAACTGGGCATGATGATAATGGGCGCGATCATTGCGAGTACATATGTTGGCTTCTGGCGACGCCTCCGCCCTACAATCAGGTGAACAGCCCCTGTAACACCAAACTGGGGCCGCCGAACCGCGAACCGGGATACTAAATTCATGTTTGTGTGCTAAGATTTAGGCAAAGCATGTTGGATTCTGCGGGCATACCACGATGACTGAACACCGCAGCCCTTCTGAAAGCTTCTGTCACCGGCCGAGATTGGTAGTGACATGGCGCAAGCGGCACAAGCCGTTCTCATTTGCTTGGCGCTGCTGCCCTTCGCAAGTGCTTGTACTGTCGGATCAAGAGGTGATTGCGATGGAAATGGCGTTTGTGTTTCTGACAGCTTTTTCGACAACGACCCCTTTTTCAACAAATGCGAGTGTGACTTCTGTTGGAGTGGCGCGGGTTCCTGCGATCAGAACTTTTGCATCTTCCTCATGATCCCTGTGGTCATCCTACTTTGCGTTTGCTGCGTCTTCTGCATCTGCTGTTGTTGCATCGGCGGCACCTTGCGGACGGTGTGGAAGGCCCAACAACAACAAGCCGTTCCGCCCGTGGTGGGACCCGCCTCGGGTGTGGATCCTACTACTGCACCGCCCGTGGTAATGGTGCAAGCGACGGTTGTTGAGCCAGCAACGCCTGTCGTGGTGGGAGCCACTGCGACCAACGAAAACTATGCCGCCTAGAGAACGGTGTGTGGGATGAAGATGGTTTGCCGACAGAGGCGGAGGATAGAGGATCCTGTGTAGTGAGCATAGTGGCCCCCCCCCCATTTCAGAATTGCAAGATGTGGAGCCTCTGTTGTGTGTGCTGACTCTTGCTGAATGCAATCTTGCAGCCAAGCCGGCCCACGGCTGAACAGCTGCACCGTTGGCCGAAGACCGGCCCGCCGTGCAGCGCTTCAAAATTTCAAAGCAAATGGAGGTTCATGGGTACTTAGAAGTAGTGGTATATGTAGGGTAACTATGGTTCTAACAAAATTTAGGGTACTTATATCCCTTCTGATAAGCAGCCATGAACCTCCAAGTAGCATGGGAGCACGGCAGTTTCCCAACTGAAAGCGTAACACAGGGGTCGGAATATGTACGGAAAGAGTTACATGTTAATACCATAACATCCCCCAAAACCCTATTCGATTTCGTCAAAGCCCCTATGTTACATGGCATTACATGGCTTTGACTGCCTTAAAACAGCTCAGATCATTGAACACAGGCCCGCAACCCTCGCCCACCCCCGAGCCCTAAACCCTAAACCTTAAACACCCTAAAGAATCACAGCTGAAGAGCCGAAATGCAAACGCGGCCCGAAAACTAGCAACTCCCTCGGCTTCGGGTTGAGAGTTTCGGCTTTAGGGGTTTAGGGTTTAGGGTTTAGGGTTTAGAGTTTTGGGGGGTTTACTCCTAAAGGCCTGAAACCCCCAAGGCCCAAAGCATAGCTGTCATCCTCCGACCAGTCTAAACACGTTCAGGCCTCCATGTCCCAACCGCAAAATGCCAACGCCGGGGTTTGGGGTTTCGCGTTTCAACCCGCAAACCCTAGACACCTAAACCCTAAAGCCCTAAGCCTTAAAACCCTAAACAACCCTAAACCCTGCACTTTCCCATATTCTTGGACCCTGTCCTATCATCGGAAGCCGAAGCCCGCCAGGAGTCGGTAGAGGCCGGCGTGCGGGCAGGGGCGCCCAGAGCCATTCTAGAAATTTGGGGTTTGGTTCTGGAATTGGGAACCCTAAACCTATAACCTATACCGAACCCGAACCTCTAGGCTATAAGCAGCAGTAAGATGCAGAGCTTCTTAAGTCCTGCAGTGCGAGGGGGGGTGGGAGGTTTCTGAAACGTGTTCGGGACCCTTGTTGAGGGATCCTAAGTTTTGAAGGCTCGCCATATCGAACCCAAAGCCCAGTGGCACCCTTGCTTTCTGCGCTTCTTCGGGCCTGCAGGTGGCCTGAGCTAAACCCTAAAACCCTAAACCCTAAACCCTAAATTCGTGAGTCCGCTTGAGTCCCAGAACTTTCAGACCCCCCAATACACCTTCCGCACTTTCATAGGCTGCCCTAGTGAAACCCGACCTGGGACTCTATGTACCTACAGTTTAGGGTAGCTACCCCTTAGTTAGCCGGTATAGCCCATAAAACTGTACCCTAAAACTCTAAAACCCTAAATCCCTAAAACCCTGAAACCCCAAAACCCTTAAACCCTAAATCCCGAACGAACACGGGGTCGAAGTGTCCACGGAGGAGAGCGGATGAGAGGTCTCCTAGTCCATTCCATGCTTTGCTGCAGAATCGGGTTTGGGTTTTCAGGTTTGGGTCGAGGGCTTAGGTTTTGCAGTGTAGGGGTTTAGGGCTTAGGGTTTAGGGTTATGCACTTTAGGGTTTAGGCTTAGGCAGTTTAGGGTTTCATGAGGGTTTAGGGGTTTGGGGAACCCTGAACCCTCACAGGCCCCAACACCTCAATCCTAACCCTTGCGTCAGGTCTTCCAAGATCTTCGCGGTGCGCCGGCAGCACACCCCGCACCGCCTGCGGCTGAGGTCACCCCCAAGCCCTGAGAGCAGAAAGTGGGAACTTTTGAAAGGAATAATCATTAATAATTTTAGCAGTAGAAATAATTAGTAGTTGTATTAGTAGCATTCTCTGATGTTCTAGCCCCCTTTGGATTTTTCATGTTTATGTATGTAGCACCCA